ATATATATATATATATATATATATATATATATATGTTTTGAACAATAAAAAAATATTAAAAATTAAAATCTTCAGACACACTGGGTTGTAGATTAATATTCTTTCGTTTTTATTATTATTATTCCATTTAGATTCCTCGACTAGTTTCGGCCAAAATGGCCATCATAGGGAGGAGAAATATTTCTGCTTGCCGGTAGCAGTGAACTACAGAAATGAATGTCTTGATGGAGAAAATTAACTTTTGTCTGTAGTTTTAGTTTTCATTTTTTTTTTTTTTTTATCTTTTTAACATGAATCTTTTAACATTCCTTGTGTTGGTCAAACAGTCTCTTTTAAGTTGTTATTTGAGATAAGAGCTGGATAGATACATGTTATTCTGAATTCTCTGGTCAGTTTGACAGTTTTATTGGACCTGGTGAGGGGATGCGTCTTTGTTTAGTGTTTGTGTGTGTGTTATTTGGTTCTTAGGGAGTGAGTGAGTATGATATGTGTAAGCGTGTGTATTGCTGTGGGTGTGTGTTATCATTTGGCTCATTAGGGAGGGAGTGAGTATGATGTGTGTAAGTGTGTATATTCGTGTGGGTGTGTGTATAAGTGTGAGGTCTCAACACCTCCGTACGCATGTCTGTCTTGTGTGGGTGAGAAATGTGGGTAGGTTTTGATTTGTAAAGTTATATATTAGTACTATCTGTATTGTTAAATTTATGGTTTAGCCCGGCTGGATATTTTGTTTTTAGACGTTGTATCCACTTATTTTCATGGAACTCTAAAATCGTTCTAAAGTTATCTGCTCTGAACTTTTCTATTCTCTCAATTATAGTGAATTTGGCATGGGTTTTGAAATCGTGTTTTCCAGGCGGAAATGTTGTTCTACAGGTAATAATTTTTCATGGGGAGTCGACTTAATTCGATTGCGATAATTATTAATTCTGTAGTGAAAGAGCCATTCAGATTTTCCTACATATTGTTTCTGGCATAGTGTGCATTCTAGAAGGTAAATTATGTTATGACTTCTACAGTTAGAATCGTGGTAGATTTTGAAAGTAGATTTAGTGATTGAGCTAGTGAATGAATTCGTGTGTTTAATATGGTTGCTACATAAACTTCTTTTGTTGTTACATGGTTGGGAAAATCCTGTTGTTTTTGTTCTCAGTTCCTTACGGATTACCTTGTCCCCTGAAATGTGGTTACTACCTATGATTTCTTTTAGGTTATTAGGTCTACGATATGCAAGAAGGCCGGGTTCCTTAAACAATTTTTTTTAGGTCTGGTTTGAGATGTAGTATTTCCCAGCGACGTTTGATTATTTGGGATAGTGGAGGCAGAGTGGGGTTGAAAGTGGTTACTAGAGGAATGCGGCTAGATTTATTTTTAATCTTGTACATTAGGGTATCTTCTCTAGGTGTAGAAATTGCTTTATTTATTTGTTCCCTGATTAGGTGTTGTTTATAGCCACGTGTTGTGAATTGATGCTCCAGATTTTCAATGTGTTTATTTAATTCTTCATTGTTGGAACATATCCTTCTGAGTGTAAGTGCTTGTGAAGAGGGAAGGTTCTCTTTGAGGTGTTTAGGGTGGGAAGACTTAAAGTGTAGATAGTTGTGGGTGTCGGTGATTTTAGTGTGTAGTGTCGTTTGCAGTTTCCTGTTTTCATCAATGTAAATGCGGGTGTCTAAAAATGTTACTGATGTTGCGGATTTTTCATAGTTAAACTTAATTGAGTCGTGCATTGTGTTTAGGGTCATAAGGAATTGTGTAAGTTTGTCATCACTACCCGTGTATACAAAGAATATATCATCGATATATCTTGCATAGAATACGCAGTCGCTACCAATGATTGGATAGATATGGGTCTCCTCAAATTTTCCCATGAATATTGTAGCATATGATGGAGCTGCAATTGTGCCCATGGCACAACCTCTTATTTGAAGGTCGAAAGTATTCAATGTAAGGACATGCTCCATGAGTTTTATGATAACTTCTGTGGGGGTGGGGTCTTGTTTTCTTCTTTTTTAGTAAGTGCTTCCTGACGGTTATATATATATATATATATATATATATATATATATATATATATATATATATATATATATATATCATGTTTTAATACTTTTGAAAGCTTCTGTGTAGCGATTTCAAAATGTTTTTATTATAATCTCTTAGAATAAAATGTCACACACACACATACACACATATATATATATATATATATATATATATATATATATATATAGAGAGAGAGAGAGAGAGAGAGGGGGGGGGAGAGAAATTATATATTTGTGCAGTATTCCTTCTTTTATACATGTTTCTTTGCATCAAGACAATATAATATATCGTAGCCCGCGTGTCCTGGTTGTGTTTGGAAATTGAAAAAATCCCCATTAATAATCAAATTACGACTACATACTTCCACGTTTATCTTTGAACAGGGGTTGAAGAAATATGTTCAAATCTTTCAAAATTCCGGATAATTGAATACCTGAAAGGAATTTGACATTTATACCATCGAATAACCTTTTCAAGCGTTTCATTTTTTCGTGAAAAAAAGCGTTAATTTTTACTGTTTTCGATTGGCCTCGCCTTTTTCACGCTAACTCCTTCGGCTGGATTACAGTAGATGTATTTCTATGCGTCGCTTCTAGTTGAAATTGCAACCAGCCATTGCCACGATGTTTGAAATTCAAACTTTGAACGTTGAGTATGGTTTTCTGAATTCTTAAAACGTTTGTCTACGATGGAATTAGCTGAAAAAATTTACGGATACTGTACGGATAATTTCAATTTTTTCTGTTCACTTTCACATCCGGATAATTGAGACAGGAAAATCGAAACACGGTTAATCGAGAAAGTACAGTACTCAAGCGCAAAATAATATAGAAAACAGCACATATATACTAAGAAAAAAAAAAATGAAAAATTGAATTGTTAGGAAAAAATCGATCTATTTGGAAATATTTTTGGTTATTTTTTCTTTGTTTATTGTGATTTACAATATTTAATTAAAAATACATAATATTTTAGTTTTTCTAAGATAAGCCGTGGTATACATCGATTTTTTGTTTACTATGCATTTACAATATTTAATTATACTATATATATTAATTTTTTTCTGAGATAAGTCGAGGTGTACATCGATTCTTTCATTTTTAAAATAAGTGTGTTAGCAAGTTTACTTTATTAAGAACTAGCAGTAGAGCTCGGCGTTGCCCGGGGATGTAACAGTAAGAGATAGATCAAGTATCGACCATCATAAAGACTGAAAAATAAAATTGACAAAGATTATTGTTTAAGGTTGACGGGCACGCATGTCTTAATTATTTTTTTTTTTTTTTACGAATTGGTCAATTATGAGTCTATCGATTGAATAGAATTTTATTATAAACAATTGTCTTGTAAATGGAATTTTTGAAGCATTCGGAATGTAAAAATAAAGAAAAAAGTGTGCAAGGCAATAAGAAACACTATTTTGTTGAAATCGGTTGAAAAATGTAGGAAATCCGATCCCATATATAAACGAACACACACACACACAAAAACAACCAACCTGGGTTTTATAATAAGTATAACTCGATATGAGTTGTCCCCCTTTCATTCTCACGATGCCTCTTAATCGTGTTTTCAAATTGATTTTGTGCAAAAACAATTGTGATTTTCCTATTTTTGACGCTGTCAGAACCACCGCAAGGTAATTTTACGCAGTCCTGTGAAGTTTTGTTGAAATCGGTTGAAAAATGTAGGAAATCCGATCCCATACGTAAACGAACACACACACGCACAAAAAAAAACCTGGGTTTTATAATAAGTATAACTCGATATGAGTTGTCCCCCTTTCATTCTGGTGACAGAATCGTGCTTTAAGTGTTTCCAAATTGATTTCGTGTAAAAACAATTGTGTTTTTCCAATTTTTGACGCTGTCAGAACCACCGCAAGGTAATTTTACGCAGTCCTGTGAAGTTTTGTTGAAATCGGTTGAAAAATGTAGGAAATCCGATCCAATATATAAACGTGCACACACACACACACACACACACACAATCTGCATTTTATAATAAGTAAGATGTCAGTTATCACTACTTTATTAAGAGTGTCAATTTTCATTGTTATATTAGGGAAATTTAAGGCATTGTATTGGCCTGCATAATTCTATATTTATATTTAAGCGTAACATTTCTCTTTTTTCTGAAAGACGATGTACTTTTCGAAATTATAAGAAATGCTTTTCGAGACGTAACTTTTGTTTTGTTTACATATGACTATTGATTCCGTATCGTCGATTTATCGTTCAAGCATTTTTAATAACATTTTGCCGATATATTTATTCTTTTATCCTTTTCTTATGATTGTAGTAACATAACATCTTTTTTTTTTAATTTTTTCTCAAGCCGCCCAAGAATCGCATCAACTGATTTCACCAGGAACTCTTGTGATATGGAAGACAAGATAACTTCCTATATTCGCCCTTCAGGTTTTTTCCAAAGTCTTGGTTTGGCATAGTAGACATGTTCATTTAACCAACCCCAAAGAATAAAGTCACAGGTTGTTAAGCAGGACACCTGACTGGCCACTCATACATAAAATAGGGAGTTACTTTTCAACCACATACATATATATATATATATATATATATATATATATATATATATATATGTTTTGTTCTTTGTCATACATATTTCCTCCAAAACTGATTTTTATATCTATCTATCTATCTATCTATCTATCTATCTATATATATATATATATATATATATATATATATATATATATATATATAAAAAAAGCACATTATTTAAAAAAAAAAGGGATTTTAGATATTTTCAAAATGTTAAATTCACAGCGTTGTGCGCATGTGTAGTTTTATCAACGTAAACAAATTTTGTCCGATGACGACATTGGGGACAAAACGCGTCACACTTTTCATATATATATATATATGTATGTATGTGTGTGTGTGTGTGTATAATGAGAGAGTGAGAGACAGATATAGATCACTCAACACTCTATGGTGACTAGCAGTTCAGTTTACTTATCTATCTATCTATCTATCTATCTATCTATCGATCTATCTATCTCATTCAGTTTATCTATCTATCTTTCTTTTGGTTTATGCCGATCTATCTATCTCTCTATGTCGATTTTGTGGTATCTATCTATCTATCTATCTATCTATGTGTGTGTGTGTGTGTGTGGATAATGAGAGAGTGAGAGACAGATATTGATCACTCAACACTCTATGGTGACTAGCAGTTCAGTTTGCTCATCTATCTATCTATCTATCTATCTATCTATCTAATTCAGTCTATCTATCTATCTATCTATCTATCTATCTATCTATCTATCTATCTTTCTTTTGGTTTATGCCGATTTATCTATGTCGATTTTGTGCTATCTATCTATCTATCTATCTATCTATCTATCTGTGTGTGTGTGTGTGTGTGTGTGTGTGTGTGTGTGTGTGTGTGTGTGTGGATAATGAGAGAGTGAGAGACAGATATTGATCACTCAACACTCTATGGTGACCAGCAGTTCAGTTTACTCATCTATCTATCTATCTATCTATCTCATTCAGTTTATCTATCTATCTTTCTTTTTGTTTATGCCGATCTATCTATCTATCTATGTCGATTTTGTGGTATCTATCTATCTATCTATCTATCTATCTATCTATCTATCTATGTATGTGTGCGCGTGTGTGTGTGTGTGTGTGTGTGTGTGTGTGTGTGTGTGTGTGTGTGTGTGCCTGCGTGTGAAGTGGGGCGTCTGGAAAATTGAAAATGTGCCCCCGAGTTATGCTAACATGTCAAGGTGTCCGTGTATTCCATTTGGCAGGAACGTCACGTGTCCAACAGACGAGACTGCAATTAATGTTTACATTATATTTCTTCAGTTTCTTTTTTTTTCTTTTCTGTACCTGTTTTTTTGTTGTTGTTTTTTTTTTCCTCAACGATACCTGATAGGTACAGACCACCCAGACCTCTCATCGCTTCTGATGTTGAACCAAAAGAGACTAGAACAAAACAAAAAAAAATCAACGAAAACATTCCTAAAAATTATGAACACATATGTGCTGTTAGATTATCTGCGTGGAAAATAGACGTTGCGAACCGAGTTCAAATCCCGACATCGCCTTTGGCGTTGACTTTCGTATTTATGTTGCGTTTCTTGTTGTCACTGGCTTCATCAACTCGAACCCTCAAAGGTCAGTTCATAGATTACGTCAACGGTTTTATTATACGGGAGGGACAGGCGTGATAGCATCGATTCTAGGTGGTAGAGGAAGGAAGAACTTCAAGAAAAGTATGCCTACTCTTTGGCGTGTCATCACACCACGTGCGGCTTTAGCCTGTCTGGGAAATCTGGGTGTGGAAAGTGTGTCAAACTTTCAAAATCCCTCCTACTCTCTGTCGACTTAGCATCGTTTTGGTTTTTATAGCCAGAACTTGGGCAACGGCAGCCCATCATAAAGACATGGATCCATTGCTTCTACTTCTCCACGGCCAAGAGTTGTCTAATCACTTTTTGGGTGGCAACCAGTCTAGGAGAAAGAAAATTCAAAAATCGGAAAGTCCATTATAATTTAAAAGAATTTATGACCATTCAGAGATTATGCAGAAAAGGAAGCTGTGGAGATCCATAATCTTCTACTTCGTCAAATGTTATGCTATTTAAATGAAAAAAGTCAGAAATTAACAAGATCATTATCATTCGACCGTACACTATTTACATTATTCGGACTATTTTCCTCATCTTTGTCGCCATGTTTATCACAACGTTTCGGCCGTTGTACGATCCGGCCTTCTTCAGGTGGTTGGAATGTCGAATTGAACCCTTTATTTCGCTTGCTGGGGTAGACTGTTCTAGTTCCACGTGCCATGCCCAATGGATGTCAGTTATCAGTTATCTCTTGTTAATTCAAATCTCACTGCCTTAACCAGGTATTGAACTCACAACTCTTTGGGTCCTGTCACTGGATCTAACCAACTAGAACAGTCTAACCCAGCGAGCGAAATAAAGGGTTCAGTTCGACATTCCAACGCCCTGAAGAAGACCGGAGCGTACAACGGCTGAAACGTTGTGATAAATATGGCAACAAAGATGAAGACAATAGTCCGAATAATGTAAATAGTGTACATAATACCTCATCTCAGAAATGTAGACAGATACATTCGACCGTAGGCGGGATCATCGGGATCATCGAGCCAATTCGAACGGTCCTTTCTTTAGCTGTATACAGAGTGCGATTGTTATTTGAGGACATTATGTTAAATAAACAGTAATATCTTAGCAAACAATGTATATATTTAATTCAAATTGACACATATATCTTTCATCATACTTCTTTATCTAATTATTCCATGAAACTACATTTGGCTTCAATGATTGCTTCTATTCGGGCTCGAAACCGTTCACAAGCTGAAATTAAGTGGTCCATATTCATTTTGGACATCGCCTGGACAATGGCGGTCTTCAATGCAGCTTTGGTACTATGAGGATGTCGATTAGTCTCCCTTTCAACGACGCTCTACACGTAATATAGTCCATAGGATTTAAATCTGGCGAGTTAGGGGGCCACGTGATGGGGGTCACATGATCGTAAACATTCTCTGATAACCAATCCTGGGTTACAGTGGCTTTGTGAGAAGGTGCAGAGTCTTGTTGAAAGACATATGGCCTTCCATTGCATACTTTGTTTATCCAGGCCTTAACAACTGTTTATAAACATTAATGTATCCAGCAGCATTGACCCTAAGACCTTGTGGGAAAATGTAAAGTGGCATGACATGGCCTTCACTGCTCACAACTCCTAAAACCATCACAGTAGCCGGATATTTGGTGTGCAACACCCTGGGGACTTCAGAAGGAGATGCACATAGCCGCCTGTCATTCCGTCTGTTTGTTTTCTGACTTTGGTCAAAGTTATTTTCGTCATAGAAAAACCAAAGCATGTCATGTTCGTGGGGATTTTTCACTTTGTTAAGCAACAGTTTTGAAAGCATGAGACGGTTTTCCTGTGTCTTCGCTGATATGAATTGGCCTTTCCTCATTATATATAACTTATATCGAATGTCCTGATGTACCACGGTTCTGATAGTCCACTCAGATACCGGGAGTTCTTTGGCGATGGACCTCATTGATCTTCCGGGGTTCTTATCGATGAACATTCTGTATAAATTCTGATGTTCTCACGGTATCAGAACGCTGTGAATGTTTTTTTTTTGTTTTTTTTTTGTTTTGCTACAGGGGAAACATTGCCATCACATCCCTCTAGCTCCAACCGAACCTTATAAACAAATGATCTGGCGACATGTAAAAAGTTACTGATTTTTAAATCACTATGTTTTTCAGCTAAAGCAACCATGACAGCATGTCTTTTCATTTCTTGGGTTAACATCTTCCTCTGACTGGGTTATCTGAAATAAAAAAAAATAATATTCTAAATGATTTGAGTGTGTAGTGAACTTAAAACAATATGTCCTCAAATAGCACTCGCACCCTGTAGTATGTGCTACGCCAGGGTTACATACAGTTTTAAATTCAAAGTTATTTCTCCTAGACCGGTTGCCAACCAAGGCTATAGAACTCAATCTGTCCTGCTATTTACCCATAATGGGAGGAAAAGAAGCGAATTCATAGCTTTACCAAAGGGCACGTGAGTGAATGTAATGGATCCGACAGGAATTCCGATTCCTTCATCAGAGCCTCTAACCATTACTCCACCGTGCTAACAAGATAGATGGCCTCATCTTTACTGTCATATTCACAACGTTTCGGCTCTTGTACGCTCCGACCTTCTTCAGGTGATATGCGTTAGAATTTCAAGAGTTGAGTTACTAAAGAGAAATAACCGAAACTGTGATATCCAGAAAAGGCATGACATGTGGAACTAGAACAATCTCCCACCGTGGATGAAATAAAGGCTCCGGTTCGAGATTCAAATTTGAAGAATCCCGGAGCATACAATGTCCGAAACGTCGTGAATATGTCAATAATGATGAGGATAACAGCCCGAATGATGTAAATAGTTTTAATACTTCATCTCGGAAATATAGATAACAAAACAGGCTCGAGAATAATACAAGACACTATTGACGAAGAAAAAAAATACGTAACACATGGATTTTGTCTTAACCCTACGCTTCGAAAGTGTTCCCAAAGATTGAGCATTATACAGTGGAGATTTCAGATCAAAATTCAACTAATAACTAGCAGTTTATTGTTGTAACCTTTTATCGATAGAGACAGCTCAAAAATTCGTGTTTATGGTTTCCAGTTATTTCATGAAAACATTGAAAGGAATGTTGTCTCACACACATGACCAACTTTCTTTATTGGAAGCAGGAAGCTGAGGGCATACCAGATGAGAAGGACTTCCAAATATATATGGAGTAATTTAATGCCTACAGCTTTAAGGACCCGAAGAGTATAGTAACATGGACGGTGACGTCATAAGGGTAAACGCTCATAGTAGTGTATCTTTGTGTACGAAAAGTGTGCGTGTGTGTCCTTACGAAATAGTCAATAAACTCCAGTCGACAAAAAAATAATAATTTTTCCAAGAAACATTAAACCTCTGGCTGAGAATGAAAAATAAAGAACCAAATACTTTACGAACATTATTTACATTATTCCTATTCGGACTATTGTCCTCATCTTTGTTGTTTTTATCACAACGTTTCGGCCGTTTTGCCGTTCGGCCTTCCTTAGGTGTATATCTGTTGTAACCTAGGGAAGGTTACTGAGTAGAATAATCACACGAAGTTCGGTAATAAACGATAATACTTAGGACAAGAACAACGCATATAAGATTCGCCAGCGGCGCGTCAACTGCTAGAAGTGGGACAAGTGAAGTCCACAATGATATCTGCAACTGGATGATATCTACCAACCACCGTGCGGTCAGATGTGGCACAAGGCCGAAATTAATATGTAGTACCGAGCCCCTGGGCTCGGACAAAATTTCCCCTTAGACCCTGTATAAGACGGGGTCGGGGAGCTGTTTCCCTGAGACGAGACTCTGCCCTTCGACATAGCCTCGTCTGGGGATCCTTTCTGTCCCGAAGCAGAGAGAGTGGTAAATTCTCCAAGTTTCCTTTCCTCTTTATATCGAGTTGACCCAAAAATTAGTTCGGTCTATTAAATCTGTTTTATACTTAATAAGCGAACAAACCGTAATAAAATACAAAATTATCTCATTTTCAGGTTCTTTTTTAAAAAAAAAATACAGTGTTTACCAAACATATATATATATATATATATATGTGACACACACACACACACATATATATATATATATATATATATATATATATATATATATATATATATATATATATGAAATGGAATAAGACCGACAATTATTTAATATATTTTCTGTTTATACTTTATTTTTGTAGATACAATTTAAGTAAATGCTCTGTTTTTTTTATTAAACAGTATTAATTTCATTTAGTTGCCTGAATATTCGAGAAATTTCATAGAAAATATGCGTTCTCCGACAGTAATCGGACCTGTATATACCTGTATACCTATAAGGAAACCGTCATTTGATTTGACGCGATATGCCCCATAACCACAGAGAAGTGTCTGGTTAGGAAAGTCCAAATTACTGCTTTTAAACACAAAATCTTCGATGATTTTTCTCGATCGATCATATCTGCTCACGGAACGTATCTTAATGTA